GAGAGAGAGAGAGAGAGAGAGACAGAGAGAGAGAGAGAGAGAGAGAGAGAGAGAGATTGGCTTTTAATAGGAAGTTTTTTGGTCAATGCATTGTCTCCAAATGTCCTCTGATGAAAATGAACCTGTTTTATTTGAGAGAGACAGCAAAATCACAAAAATTAAGTAACCTATCTTCTAGCTGTCCTATTGACTGACCTATTCTATTCATTACTCCAATTGTCTCATCCCTCCATTCAAATGCTAATCAGGAAAGGAATATATTTCTTTTGAAATCCTCAGGTTCTTCGTGTATTTATATCCTAATTTGTTACTTCCATGGTCCCAGAAACATAGAGAATAGTGAAATTTAGAGGTGGAAGAAAATTTATAGGTAAATCTAGTTCTATGTCTTCATAGATGAGGAAACTAAGGTATCAAAAGGCAAATGGACTTACCCAAAGGCCTAAAACCAATAGCTCTGTCAATTACATGTTGTCTGTCTTGATCCTGCTTCTACACAAACCTTGCCAGGGCTGGGATATATTTAGAATATTTTATTGCCTCTGTGTAAACAGAAATGGGCTACAGGGAGGCTAGGCTTTTTAAGCAAGAGAATATCCTAGAAGAATTGCCCAGAGGAAAGAGGGAGACATTTGTTTCCCTTTTCAATTTCACTTTTCCTTTAAAAAAAAAAGTAGAACATTTTGCATGAAGACTCAAATAACACCATTGTAAGCAAACCTACCTTCTGAAGGGAGGCAAGCCACTCTTCTGCCTCTGAAAGCTGCATGTGGACGTGACACTAGGGGTCTTATATCTGTGTGTCCTCTGGGGACAAGGCCCTGGAGAATCCACTCTCTACTTCATTATTCTCCATGGGCAACAGATAAGCAATTAAAAGTAGTGAAATGCCTCTGATGTCATCTTGATAGAAGAAAAAAAGGATACTGAAACATAAGAAGGAAGAGGAGGGTTATTGTTCACATGCTTAATTTATATCCTAATAATATTTCCTTACACTTACAGTTATTTATGCTACCTAAAGCTCCAGAAGGTTGGTTATCTCAATTGATTTTTACAAGGATCTCACTAGGAAGACTAGTCAGAAATTGTTATTCCCCATTGTACAGATGAAGAACCTGACCATTGTGGCTTACATAACTTGCCTAAGGACACAGAGCTAATAAGTGTTCAGGCCAGAATTCAAATCCAACTCTCTTGGTTCCTTGATCAGTACTCTTTTTGCTGTATGTCCTGACTTTCAGGGCCATCAGATAATTACAGCAAATGTGTAGAGCTAGAATGGCCCTTAGAACTCATCTATAGCAGTGATCTCACTCCCCATTTTCTTCAAACTTACTATTCTCCCCTATTGTTTCAAAACAAAAATCATAACAATAAAACGACTATCCCTGCTTTATCTCTCTCCGCATCTGCATTGAGAAATTCCACTGCTTTTTTTTCTCTCATTCCTTCTGCTTTAAACTCTGGCTGTAGACCTCAACAGTCAATTCTAACTTCTCGCCAAAGTTACCAGTATTTTCTTAGAAGTTTTCTTGGTCTTTTTGCATTCTAATCCTTCCTATCTGTGGTATTTGAAACTTTTAACCACTCTTTCCTCCTGAAAACTTTCTCCTTTCTTTGAAACTTTGAAACTCTCTCTGTGTCTGTCTGTCTCTCTCTCTCTGTCTCTCTCTCTCTGTCTGTCTCCCTCTTCATTATCATCATCATCATCTTCTTCTTCTTACTAGTATTTTGTGTTTAAAT